GCAATTTGTTTAAAACAATGTTTACTTCCTAACACATCAGTGACTTATGAATTTGGATTATTTATAGATATGCCTAAAATTAAGTTTCCCAAATCAAATATAGAATATTTCAGGTAAATTAGATAGTATTATTTTAATATGTTAGGCGATTTTTTATCTAATACCTAACACTCATTATTTCAAAATCTATTAACATTATTAAAAATATTTTTTTTCTTTATAATTTTTAAGTTTTTACTTTTTTATGACAATTATATTTTTAATATCATATTCTGAAGCAGAATATTTTTTGAAGTATTGCAATACACAATATTTAAACTATGGTCAAGTAATTTATGAGGTATGAGAATTTAAAGTTTAAGTGAGTAGATTAGTAGATCTACATTTTGTGGGATATCCGTATATCACTCTACTCCATTCACCTAAACTTTAAATACTTATAACTCATAAACTACTTGTCTGAATTTTGATTTTTATGCATTGAAATATTGTGCTTCAGAATACAAAATTAAAAAGTAAAAAATTTAAGAAATTTTAAAAATAAAATATACAAAAAAAAATATATTTTATTTCAAATTGGCAATTACATAAAAAAATATTTTCAAAAACATTACTAGATTTTGAAATAATGAGTGTTCGAGAAAAGAATCATTCTGTATATTTTAGAATACTTAAAATCTAATATATTTTCTTAAGGTACTATACTAAGTTTTTTGACAATAATGGAACAGCTGGTCCTAAAATAATGCATTATTCAATGCAAAATTTTAAAAACTGGGAACAAGAAATTGAAAATTGGCAAAATCCTATTTTAAATAATCCGTAAGTACATAATACAAAAAAAAATAATTATTTTATAATTTGTTTATTAAGTTTAAAATACATATTATGTTTTTTATTAATTAAGTGAATTATTTATTTATTAAGTTAACATACATATTATATGTTTTTTTATTAAATAAGTAAATAATTTATAAGAAGTATAATCTAAGAACATTACTAATTGATAGTTATGTTATGTTTATTATGCAATTAATATAATTTTATGATAATAATAATTTACTTATTGATGATTTAAAATTATTTTTATTAATAATATAAGTACTTATTAACAATATTATATGTATAATAAACTCATTATTTAAAATATTCAATATTTCTGGTTACCCCATGGGTTCACTTCATCCCTGAAATGTTTAGTTTTAATTTAATATAATTTATCGTAACATATAACAGTAGTTAGCATAGTCTAATCTTGATAATTTAATACATGGTATCAAAAGTCTCAAAACACTGTCAGATTATAGGAAATGTTGTGTATTTTTGTTAGGAATTTGATTGTTTTGGAACCATAAAAAGTATATTCATTGAAATTCATTACTTTTTATAGTTTAATGATTGCCAACACCATTATTTGCAGTTTTGGTATATTTTTAAATTCTCAGATAATTTCTCATTATATAATAGGTACAGTAGATCAGATACAACATTTAGAAATTAATAAACTAAAAAATTATATGAATTCAAATAACAGCTGGTATAACAATTCGAGTTAATTATTAAAGTTGCGTTAATTAACTGCTCATAAAAAAGATTGAATTTGACGGACATGTTGGACTATTATTTTGCCAAATTTCTGGGATTGTGCATTAATTAACAATTTTCTTTATTATAATTTTGATTTTAGATTGTTACCTGACTGGTATAAAAGTGCTATATTCAATGAAGTTTATTTTGTAGCTGATGGCGGAACTGTTTGGTTGTTACCTCTCAAGGAAGATTCTGAACGGTTAGAAGTTACAGATCCAAGATATCAGTATGGATATTTTGGGTACTTGGAAGGTCATGAGTATCGGATGTACAATACATATGATGTTCATTTTTATGCATCTTTCACATTGGCAAAACTGTGGCCTAAACTACAGGAAAGTATACAATACATGTTTAGAGATACAATTGATAATTCATTAAATATTACAAGAAAACACATGTCATGTGGTACCAAAGGGTTACGAAAATATAAATATAGTGTACCACATGATCTTGGTGATCCAGGTTTGTGTTTTAATTAAGTAATAATTTTTTATAAAAAAGTTTAATAATTATGTTGTTTTTTTTTTAATAGAGGAAGACCCTTTTAACTTAGTAAATGCTTATTTAGTACACAATGTATCAGAATGGCGTGACCTTAATTTAAAATTTGTTTTACAATGCTACAGAGATTATACTATGTTTGGTGATAACAAATATTTGGCTGATATGTATCCTCAAGTAAGCAATTTAAAATATTTATTTGAACAGTTCATTTTTATTGATTAAAGAAAAACATTTAAACAAATAATAATTTCCTTATATATAGATAAGAAATGTAATGGAGAAATCGTTGACTTGGGATACTGACGGCGATGGAATGATTGAAAATTCTGGAACAGCCGATCAAACTTTTGACACGTGGACAATGACTGGCATAAGGTAGTAATTATTCTATAATGAATTTGGTTGATTAAAAGTAATTGAAAAAAAAATATTGATTTTTAAATGTTGAAAATGTTACATAATAAATTTAATTATTTAATATTATCTTGGTGAGAGTATTTTTAATGCTAGTAATTTTGGTAAAAATTTATATTTATTCACTTATTTAGAAGTGTGATAGAATATTTTTAGGGGAAGAATTTATTGTTTTTAACCAAATTAAATTTAAGTAATAAGTGAATAATATAAATTTAAAATAATAAATAATAATAAAAATTTTAAAAACTAAAATAGTCATTTCTTAAAAAATTTTTAATCCATACTTTTAATTTTTTTTAATTTGTTACTATTAAATATAAAAATCTGAGCCAATAGGTTTACTGTATAGTAGGTTTCATTTGTTTCTTATTATTATGGATGAATGAAAGTTGAATTCAATGAAAAAATCATTGCATACTTAAAATGATTCTAAATGGAAATGAGCATCTATTTTCTAATTTATTTTACTATTAGTAATACTATGTGTGTATGTTGAACTAATTTTTGCAAATAAAATTGTATATAGTATATAACAATTATTATTAAAATATTAAAACTTAAATTATTGTTATTAACTTAAATATTTTAATAATACAAATAGCTTAAAATAAGATTAAATATTTTAAAAATTTCATTCTTTACATTTGACTAAGAAAAAAAAGTTATCTGTATCAAAGAAAAATAAACAAAAAAATAACAAAAATAAAATTAAAAATGCTAATAATAGTAGCACCAAAAGTGCCAAAATAAATTGAAAATGAATTATTTACTTTTGATTTCTTAAAATGTTCTGATTTTTAAGTTTTAGATATTTCATAATATTTATGTTTTTAGTGCGTATTGTGGAGGTTTATGGTTAGCTGCTCTTTATTGCACTGTTCAAATATCAAATATTCTTAAACAAGAAGATATCAGTGAAAAATATCTATCTATATTAAATAAAGCCAAGGAGTCATTTAATGCTGCTTTATGGAATGGTATTTGGTTTTAATTTTTATTATATTAATTGCTAAAGCATTACATTTTGTATGGGTCAAATGATTTTATAATTTATTAATAATGTTAACCCAATGTATAAAATGCAATGCATATAAGTAGATAAGTATATTCTGATGTATACAATGTGAGACATAAATGTATTTAACATTTACTGACATATTGTATACTAAATCATGATGAGTTTTATCTATTAGACTTTGGTTAGATAAAAATCGTCATGATAAATACAATAATAATCTAATATAATTATGTCCTCGTAATTCAAAGGAAATATTCTTTATCCAATGTTATTGTCATTTTTAAATGTGAAAGATATTTTTTGACTCTTAAATAAATAATGGTGTACATGAAAAAAGTGTATATGTAACAGTTTAACAGAGCCTCTCTTGTCATCATTTTAAAATAGAAAGAAAAAAGATTGGTTAATGATTTAATTTAGATATAAAATTAGATTAAATGAATATTTAAAAAATTGATGTATTTATTAAATAAGTGTTAAAACAATTTTATTACTGTAGTCTGTAGTATATTATTTTGAATTAAAATAGGTACTTAATTACAACAATAAATAAACATAATATAACTATCATCTATTTTCTATGAAAAAAAAATTAAAAGTAGGTGTTGTATCTTCTATATAATATTTAGTTAAAAATTGGTTAATACTTATTTGTCACAATTATTAGTACAATATTTTAGTAATTTTAATATTTGTCACAAATATATAAACTAAATTTTTTAATACTAAAATACTTATAAATATACTCATCATTTTGTTTGAGAATACTGAATTAAATTAGAATATTAATACATTTATATTTTTAGGTGAATATTTTGATTTTGATTCGTCTGGCCAGTATCATTCAAAATCAATTATGGCTGATCAATTATGTGGGGAATGGTATTTAAAATGTTGTGGTATAAATGAAGAGGTACTGAATCATACAAACTATACCAGTTCATTATATGATTTTTGAAATGAATAATTAATTTTTTTTTATTTTAGGTGTTCCCTGTTGATAGAGTCAAAAAAGCTCTTCAGACAATTTACAAGATGAATGTGCTTGGATTTAATGATGGAAAAATGGGAGCTATAAATGGCATGATGCCTGATGGAAATCTAGATGTATATTCAGTTCAAAGTGAAGAAGTTTGGACAGGAGTTACTTATGCTTTGTCCTCTTTAATGATATCTCATGTTAGTTTTCTACTGTGAATTTTAATACTATAATGAAGTATGTTATGTTAATGATCTATATTTGTTCTTAGGGTTTGCGTGAAGAAGGTTTTAACACCGCTAAGGGTATTTATAATACTGTTTACAATAACATTGGCATGGCATACCAGACACCAGAAGCTATTTATTCTAAAAACGCATATCGCTCTGTTGGTTACATGAGACCACTGAGTATATGGTCTATTCAAGTTGCATTAGATAATTTATCAAAGACTAACTATTAAGATAGTATTAAATTTATGCTCAATTTTATAAGATGAGTTAATTATTTTTAAATACATAGCACGTGTACTACATATGCAAGTATAATTATAACTAAATTTATTGAGGATAACGTTGCTGAGTTTTCACACATATTTAAATTGCATGTTTGATTATTAGAGGTTATTTCATTGAATTTTGCTTCGATTGGTTCCCACTGACATAATCGACAGTCATCTTTATCCATCGGTATACCGTGTTCATTGAGTAAAATCATGGCTTTATTTCCATCTCTACATTTGTAGAACACTGCGATTACATTTGATGCAAACGGATCTATGAACGATGTTCTCCATTTTCTATTTTTCATCTGTTCAAAATTTGTACTCAGTAACGTAATATTTTCTTTTCCAATACCCAACCTGGCCACCACGCTCAAAACGTTAGGTGAGTGTCCAAAGTAAAATATTCCCAATGGTCCACGTTTCCCTCTAGCAAGATTTCTATAAAATTAATAAATTATACTGTAATTTATTATATTATTATTTCTAATGTGAATTTTGTGTCAGTATTTAGCATACAATAATATATATGACATTAGGGTTTTTATATGAAGCTATTTGTTTCAATACATAAACATTATTAGAATTAAACTAAGTTAAGAAAACATTTATGTTATATGTAACTTAAATAAGGTTAACTATAATATATAACTGATTGGAGTAGATAAAAAAGGAGTTCCTTGATGGTGATAGTTTTGTGAGGTTATTTAAATAAAATAGTAATAAAGCATTTTATTTTAATATTAGACTTTATTGTATATTCACTTGTATCCACTTTTATTTTTTATGCATTAAATCTTACTTATTTTTTGATATTATGTAATTGTTTTTAGTCTACTTTAAAGTCTTATTGACTAGATTTATTTATATATTTAGTTTTATATTATAAACATTTTTTTCTTAATTTAGTTTTTAATTCTAACAATGTTTTTGTATTGAAATAAATGGGAACATACTAGTACCCTAACATAATTTGTTATTATCAAATATAAATCTAATTTATGCTCATACTTGAAATTGTCTATCAAGTCCTTCACAATAGGGCATCCCATACTCTCTCCTATGGGATTTCCATACCCATTTGAATAGTAATATTTGAGATCTTCTACATATTCAAGGATCTGAAGAAATAAAACAAACATTGTTAAATATATCAATATTACTAATAGTGATGAGAGGTGGTACTATGTTATTCTACAGTTTATTATTGAGTACTGAAGTGATACAAAGCATTAAGTTGTAAGGACTATTGGCAGGAATCCATTAAAATTTAGTTTAAATTATTAATTAAATATATGAGAAATAACAATTTTAACACCCTGAGATTCTAAATTATTTACGAAGTAAAACTTTAAAATTTGAGAAAAGTAATGAGTTATAAACTGATAACTGATTGTTTAATGAGCAAACATTGAATATAATTTTGATAGTAATGTTCAGTACATAAATCGTAAAGGAATGTTTTGCAGCTTTGTTAACCTTACCTAAATTGTGTAAGGGCTAGATCTCCTGTTGGATTATAAGTTATAACTTCATCTATGTGTAAAGCAATGAATATTTTTTGGCTTAATTACGGTTGTAGATTGATATAGGCACATCTATCTATTACATGTCGTGGACTAAATTATTATTAAGTTTGAACTACAATATACCTAATGGCCCTAAATTGTCTATACAAAGAGTGTCTATAGAGTGCTGTCATAAATGTATTCGCATTTTGGTCATTATATCGGTATGATGTGATGGTAATCGTTTGTAAAATGTTATTAAAACCTAGTTATTTTTCGACCGACCAATCCACAGATGTAAAAATTTGTACATAAATATTTGCCTTATTTAAAAATAATTTTTACTATTATTATTATTACGAGTACAAGTTAACACCACTATAACGTTGGTCGTCGAGATCACGATTTAAGATACCCATTATTTTAAACCAAGGTCAAGACACATAGTCATAAGAATTAAAATAGGTACTGTGTGGCCTATTAAATGAAACTATTTACTATTAGCAAAAATTTACTATTGTATGTTATGAATCATAACTTATGATGTATATAGTGAACAGAGTATTCTTGTAGATAAAATTAGTGATTTTTTATATTAATACGTTTAAATTGCACGTGAAAATCGACAATTACATTATGTTCAATTGGATATATTTTTACTACGCCGTCATTTATACTTAGTTTTTGTACCAAAAATAGTTTGTTATTAAAAAAAAAAAAATAATATTAATAATAATAATAATCGAAGGTTTATGGAAAATTCCCAATAAATAGATAAAATAAGTAATAACTAATATAAAAATAACCGAAGCTTCGCAACTATTTTATGGGAAACTTAAAGAAGATTATTGGAAATTAATACACGCAAACGATCAAACAAAGAAACCATATTTGATTTACTTCTATGCAGATATGAAGGATGCAATTGTGTTTAAAATTACGTATGAATAATGTAGTCGGATTACATGGTAGACAATAGTGCGGACTTTTATCTGATGTAATAATATTGTACACCAATACACTAGTGCCTATACCAAATAGATTAAACTTAAACCGAATAATTTTATATTATACCTACTTCTAAATCTTTCTGTGTGAATACAGCACACCATGCTGGTCGCGACTGTATATACCAAGCTTTCTCATACTTGCAAGATTCCAACATCAGTGAAATGTTTTCTAAAAAAATATTAAAATAAAATATATATTTGTATATACGCGTTGCACATTAAGGAGATAAAATTGTGTAGAAATTAATGATATTATTGTATGAATAGTCTGTATATATAGTAATTAACGAATTTATATAGTTTTTTCAAATAGTATCTATTCATTTATCAGTGTAGAAAATCGAATTTCCATTTGTTAAAGTCGATACGTAGAACATATGAATGCTCTAAATCAGCGGTTTCAAAACTGTTACGACCCCGACGGCCGACACCCTTAAGAAGTAGTTTGTATTTCACGGAACCCTAATGTCTTTAATTCTAATCATTATTCAACTCCAATTTTTCTAAAAAATAAAACCAATACTCAAAAAAATGTTTTAACGATATTGTAAAAATGATTGTTTATTAAAAAAAAATAGAATCAACATTTTCTATCAAATGTTCTAATAAAAATTGTATTTATTAAAACAACAAACATTTATCATTTAATTATTACAAATATTTATTTTTAATAAATTATAATTAATTAGATTTTATATTATTATACTCGTACATTTACTTTTAATATTTTTAAAGAGAATAATGTGACTGTTTCATTATTTGATTTATAAAAGTTTTAAAATTAGGTTTTATATCTAAAATTTGAATTCATAGGTCTGAAGCGGCATCCAATCTATTTCTGTATTAACTTTTAGTATAATCATTACAAGAAAAACTAGTCTCACAATGGTAGGTTGTTATAAAAGGTAGTAGAGTTAAAATAGCTTTTTTAACTAGAGATGAGTAATTGTCCTTTAATTCAATCCAAAACTTGTTTAAAGATTTGGATTTATGTTTTAAGAATAACATGTTTATAATTATTTTAATAAGATTTTCTTATTCGAGCATGGATAATATCGTAGGTTTTATTTGGTTCACAAAAGGATTTTGTATCCAATAAATGTCATTGTTAGTATCGAGAAAGTACTGAGATACTTAATGATTTTTTGAGGTTTTCCAAATATTCGATAATGGTTTTATTAAAATTAGTTGTTAGTTGTTATTCGTTTTTCTTTAAAATAATTTCTAACAAGAGAGGAAAGCATAAAAAATCGTTGTCATTTACATATGCAATCCAAAAGTTAAGTTTGGACAATAGCTATAGGTACTATATGAGTATTATAATTTTATTATATTTAATATCAAGTATGACAAATATTATACTAGTAATTATTATTTATAGGTGAACTTTTTTTTAAATAATATACAATAATAATTTTTAATAATATGTTTTTAAAATATGATAAAAAATAATTAACTTAATAATCACATACATCTGGTGGAACCTTTGAGATTGTCCTACGGAACCTTATGGTTCCACAGAATACACTTAGTAAACACTGCTCGCTAAATTATAGGTTCAAGTGTTAACTTCAATATATATTTATTATTATTATTATTATTTTTATTTATTATTATTTAAAATGTTTTAGCACATTAGGTGCTATATTACAAGTACAGTCTATTTATTATAAAATGTTATACATAATATTCTACTGTTCTAGAATTATTATTGTACAAACATTTTCCCAAGTCCAAACATTTACAGGTGAAATGTCTTTAGCTTTTGACATTTATATCCCGTCGAGTTTGACTACTGCAGTAGCTACTCTCCTCACGATTTCACAGTCAACATGTACTTTCCGCTCATATGCTTATTGTAACTACTATTACAAATTGTATGTATCAAATAAATGTAAAAAAAAAAAGTTTTTGACATACTTCTATAACTGATATTATTATAAATTTTTTTCGGCAAAAATGATTGTTTCATGTACACAATCAATTAGTTCTGATTATACTTTTATAATAATGAAAGTAAAGAATATTAAGACAACGTCATATACTTAAAATCATCTTGGAATCGACTATATTTGTATGAAATTCTTAAAATTGTATTCTTTTTCTTTTCCTCATCTTTCGTTCTCGACTATAATAATATGTGATTGGCCATTCTTGTCCTACAAATTTGCGGAATCGTTATCTTTGGAATTGAAATATTACTTATGCCTACAAATGGGTAGTTTTCATCTGTTATGTATCGTGTTGGAACCAAACATTCGCCCTTTAATAATAAAATGTGAGGACTAGGACTAACAGTAAATAATTCTAAGTAATTCTTTTCTGCTATAGGAATATTTCCAATAATTATCGAACTCAGGTAACAAAATAAAATATGTTTACTGATATTTAATATTGTTTGTTTGTCTTATAGCCCATAAAAACAGAATTATTAATTACCTAGGTATAAGCAGTAAGCACAATATAGCATAGTTATTCAACTTCTTTGCATAAAAGCGCATTCTAATACATCATACTGTACTGTTTAAAAACCCAAAATTCCTATAAATTTTAGTGCTCAACAGTTAACACTTGTATACCTATATAGTTATGAAAGGTTCAACGTCCTAATACAAACAATAGTACTTTGGTCTTCAATACGCGTTGTTAGCAGTTGAGCTACTATAAACAGATATTCGTTAACATACTTGACATTATACTGGTCAAACTATTATAACAAATCATTATTGTTTGAAAATGTACAATAGTTTTTAGTTTCCAAAAGGTTTTAATGTTTTGACGAGATGGTCTTTATGACTGTTACAATCTACAGTTGGTTGTTGGGCAGATAATTTTTGTACTGTATACATATACTTTTATTTACACACTTAGTAATAAATGTTTTATAATATAATAATTGTTTTTAAAACTATAAAAAACGGAAAAGAAAATAATTCGATCTTATAATAATTTCAGATAATGTGTCATGTGTGCATGGTGCATTTCCATGTCAATAATAAAGTGATAAATTAAAAGTAATGGTTAATAGTTGCAGTCACGCGTCTACTCGAATATTGAATACATCGTATGTATGTATTTTTAGTGTACATTCATATTATTATTAATGATTGTAAATAATACAAATGACAGATAATATATAGCAAGAACAGAAGACAGGAAGAAAACTTTGCAGATTTAGAATCTAGTAGTATTTATATATTTTTTTATTCATCTCTAAAGATCGTTCTTTACAAGTTTTTTTTCAGTATGAATAAATCGTTTAAACTAAAATTTTATTGTTACAATTTTAATTGGGAATCTTGTAGACAAGTAGGTAGGTACTCAATTAGTTCGTAGTCAATTTTTAAATAATTTAATTTTAATTAAGGTAATTAAACTCAATGTATTTATTAAAAACGAAAATATTTTAACCCTAGTAATTATTTTATTGGGATTTTTGTAATGTTTACGAACTACGGGCTATTTCTCTTAAATTCGCTATTCATAATTATCATGATTAATGTGTTTTACAGCTACACGACTTTGACGAGTCATCGAATCGCTATCAATGAAATGAACAATCAAGCTTTTAAACTAATTGAAAAACGTTTGTTTGAACTAATGTGTGTGTTGTTTATTATTATACATTGTACGTATACAAATGATGATAACTGACGAGTTGAGTCGAATAGGTTAAATAGGTACACTTGATAAATAGCTGTTTAAATTGTTATTGTTAATTAAATAATTAATCGAACGAATCTTTTCAATTATATTCGTTTAATTAATCCAATAACCTCGGGTTGCGGAAATGTAGATAATTATGGTGATTATTCGATGGCTCGTGGGTGGTGAGGTTAGGTTATCTATATTCTATAACTAAAAAATGGAAACACGTGATATCATATGCATATTATATTGTATATATATTTGAAATAATGTGCTAGCAGAGATGGAAATCGAATTTCATGAGCACGTTATAAATTTATAAATACAACACACTATTGAACAATTTACAAAAACGCTGCGCCGGGGTCGGTAGCCCTTTTATTTATAGGTATAAATATCGTCAATGTATGTACTAGTGTAAAAGTAAAACACAATACGTACCTACCGCATAATATTATGATAAATAGTAATTTGTAATTATTATTATTATTATTTGTCGTCGTCATTAACAACGAATAAAGACAAGGAAAAAGCTAAACATGATTATATATTATAATACGTACGTTAAATGGATATTGGGTACTACTATTAGCGCCTAAAAATTATATACTTATGCGTATGTACATTTTATAAAATATACAGTTGGATGGATTTCCAACCAAGTGAAATAGTAATTAACTGTAAAAATTTTTTTTTTTTTAAAGCATAATGCCTTATTATTACTATTTTCACACACGCGTGAAATATTGAATTCTCGTGGAAAAACTCACCATAACTGAGGTTTTGTTTAAGGCCCATCGCCATAGATACGCTGGACACAACGGACTGCACAAGTGGGCCGTCCTCGAACTTTTTTACTTCTCCTTGTCCCTTTGTGTCGTCGTCGTCGTCTTCGCCCGGCTTGCACTTGTACAGCTATTAAACAATATTATTATTTAATATACCTATTTAAGTCATCGTTATTAGCGGCATCGTAGCGAGTTGAAACTAAATATTTTAATCAGATATAATAGCATTTTCCACGTAAACATTTTTAAATTGCTAACCATTAATAATTTAGAATTATATTCGACGTGCACTACACGACTACACGTCATACTGATGTAGTCAAGTTAAAGTTAATGAAATAATAATATCTGTAGCTATATTATAGTAAAACACGAGTGGATAAACACAGACCCTCACTTTTCTACAATCAATACATGACAGACGATTATTATATGTTTAAACGAATAATGACTGCAGTGGTGTACCTTTTGAGTTTGAAGAGTCACTGAATTAAGAGGTTAAAGGCGTGTGGTAAAATAAATTTAATGATTTGGAAATTGTACAGAAAAATAAAAATTTCAAAATTTTAAAAACTTGTTTGAAATGATTTGCGAATTATTCAAAAAATATTAATGGTTTAGAGATTTTAAAATAGCATTAAGAGGGGAGAATGACTAAGGATCTCTGCTGCTAAGGAAAAAGCTAGTTTCTTGGAAACACAGTAGTATTTTATAAAGTTATCAGCCAATCTCAGATCTACATGACCGTGTTGTCTTTTTCACCAGTGTTTGCACATCTGCCTTATTAGTAACATTGATATGTTACCTTAATACCGGGTCCTGTAAGCGATGACTGGACTTCTCTTTTTAACGAGCTAAATTAGTGTTATTTGAACTCACATTTTTAGAGTTCTTCTTGGTTTGTGTTACCTTATTATATTACTACAGCATAGATAATATATATTCCACTATGAACCATAAAGGTGCATGGTTGTTATATTATTATATACTATAATTTATATACAAATTTGTACTTGATCAAATTTTCGAATAGACGATATCAACAGTTTACCGAAGATCAGAAGGAAGGTAACAGCGTGGATTTAAAATTTGTACCTGGTAGGTGGTTATATTCTCTTGTATATAGGTACCATGCAAGGGAAAATCTTCTACTTATATATTTAGTCCGATTATTCAGTTTTTAGCGATCTTTGGTTATTTAACTACATTGTATTAATTCTCTTATTTTACGTTATCACACAATTGTTTTAAATTTTTTCAATAACTTTTTTTACTCCAGAATGAATGTTTAAAATTGAAAATAATCTTAAAATCGACTTAGTCAGAAAAAAGTTTTAATAGAATTATATTAGATTAAGACTGGTTATATTGCAATATTTTCCCGAAATTTCTCCTAGAGGAATGCAATCTAAAGAATTTAACATTTAGCAAAGTTTTTATAAAGTATATTAATATTACTAATACATGTAGTTAATAAGTCTAAAAATTTAAATGTAGAAATACTTAACCCATTAATTTACTGTATGTTTAATATACATACATGTAGTACTGCATGGGGAACAAACATTTTTATGATTATCTATTCACTTAAATTATTTTATTCTAGGCTGTATTACAATTTTATTTATTCATATTAAAATGAAAAGTTACAACTAAGTTCAGATTTAATGGAGACAGCTGATAAGTTAGGCTCTTATCTCTTTAAATAACACAAAAATAATATAATTTGTGTGACTAGTATAATGTGTTATTTATAAATTATGTTTCTGATTTTGTGGAACACAAATATTTAAGTGATCTGATTGACGTTTCTGAGATAGTTTTAAAAATAATGTTTGCATATAGTCATGTAGATATAACTCTGTAAATGGAAATGTACAATAAACTAGCGAGTAGCAATGTACATGTATTTATTTGAGAGCTAATTTTTTATATTTTGTATTCAAATTTTCGTGAAGATAACTGTAGTGATTATATTGGTAACTTTAAGTATGTGGTATTATTTAGTATTGGAAATAAATATTTTTTCTCTTATAATTTATAATCAATGGTATTAACTATTAATTTTTTTTAATCTTTCTCTATGTATAAGCGATTTTTCAATGCTAAACAATTAACAAGTATTATGCAATTTATGAATTTTTAATCTGTATTATACATAGATATTGATAATATTGTATAAATTATATACCTACGAGTATTAAGTTTAATTTTTAGAAGATTAAAACATGATCTTATTAGTGTTAGTCATTCATCATATAGTGTAAAATATTTTTTTGCGTGAGGCACAAATTTATCTATACTCACCACCATCATCCTCTTATGATAAAATCAGTAACTATTTTTTTTTTATACTCATTCAAACTGAAAATATCATTTAATTATAATTTATAATATATACGTATATGTAAATGAATATTTTTGAATAGTTTGGAATTTTGAATTATTCCATTTCATTGAAATGCAATAATTAATTTTCATTACTTGTTTTAATATTCCTTTGCGCTTAATTACTCTCATTCAGTTTACAAAAATCATATAAAATCCAAACACGATAAAAATGTTAATGTTAGTCAATTACCTCCAAGTAACTGATCTACAGTCTCTCCGACCTCTCCGGATTCAACCACGTATTTTGGTTGAGGTACAATCCTAAAAAACATGTTTTGGCTACGTACAACTCACTGCTTATTCGTCTATACACTATACAGGTATACTAATCCCTATTCTCTTTATGAGTGTTTCTCAGAGGACGTGTTGTAAAGTGTAAGCACATTTTTTTAATAATTGTTTAAGTATTTATTTTAAAAATAGATAGACGATGTTTATCTAAAATGTTCCATGACTTATAATAATTAGGTAACAATAATGTGTCATGATGGAAAAATAGAATGGAAACCATCGCTTTATATTAATTATTAGCCTCATATTATATTGTACTAGTGATATTCATATTAATAAATAGTAAAGTTTTATAATTATTTTCGAGATCTCCAATACTTACGTAGAACCTGTCATCGGATTTTTGAACAATCGGTAATTCATTTTCAGGGTTTTTGTTAAACACTGTTTGATAAAATACGGTAGCGCTGTCTTTGGCGCGTTGTTTTTGCGAAGTCAGAAACTGTAAAAAGAAACCGATTAAACTATTTTTATAAATTATTATATGATAATTAATTTTGTAAAATTCTTTCATTATAAAAATGTAACATTTATAGTTGTTCACATATTAGGTACGTATTGGAGCGAAACACTTTAAATGGTTCACTTCATATAGGGTTCGTGTTGATTTATATTATGTAATTAAAATACAATTTATTAATATAAACAAATAGAGTGAGAGTATTTATTAAGCTGTTACTGTATTCTGTGTAAGCCATGCGGTTAATTCGTTGCCACAATTTATTAAATAGCCGAAAATACCGAATTACTTAAACGTTTGGTTAGGTATGGATATTAATAACCAGAGAAAATACTTTACATAAAGAATATCATTGAATTTGGTAAATATTATAAATAAAAAGTAAATTGTGAAATAAATAGAATACGATAACAGTGTTATAATACCTACTATGATTTAATTTTATCGTAAATTTGTAGATATTTATTTTTCAAGTAGGTACTTACGTATTAATATTAATTTTTTATTTTTATGAGGCTTAGGTTTTAATACTTTTGATAATAAATTTACAACCTATTTAAATATTTGAGTATTTATGTTATACTATAATTATTTATAAATATTTACTTAAAAAATAATCGTTTACTTTAAATTTTTTTAAAAGATAGTTAACTATTAAAATTACTTTAATTAAGATTAAAATTTAATGAATTTAAAAATAAATGAAAACAGTTATGATTATATACATTTTTATAAAAATATTTATTGACGCAACTAACAATTATGTATTGATAACATTTTTGATATTAAAAAAAAAAAAATAATAATTTATTACCATTTCATTGCATTTGTAAGTTAGTTGTAAGATTCATACAAAAATAGTTAGGTAATAGACTGATGTAAGTATTCAAAATGTTACTACATAGTACTTCATTAATTATGAAAGTTTAAGTAACTGCATCATATTATACATTTTTATTATTATATAATACAAAATGGAGAATGAAAATTATATTCAAGATCATTGGATACTACTAATACTAGTATAGAATATAAATTTAGGGTTTAGAATAATATTAGTTAATATAAGTAAGAGGAAACTAGATTATATCGTATGTACTTTTTAAATTTCTTTTTTTTTTTTAATTTAAAAGAATATTATTACAATTATTTATATACATATGTACTTTCATACTGTAATAATTAATAATAGCGCTTATCAGAATAAAAGGGACACACGACTGCTTATATGAGAAGTGTCCAGTGATACTACTTCAAAACTATAAGACTTATTCAAATATAATTTTTTTCTATAGTCAGTTTAGTAGGTCTCTTGGTCTCTAAGTCTCTTGGTCAACTGAAATTTATGAGGAGTGAAGAGTTAATCGGATTAGAGAGTATGTGATGGTTGGAGATTAATAGATTTAGGTACTTTATTGTCGTTTTATTGAGTTTTTAAAATATAGAAAGGCTAATTCAGGAAGCGTTTTGTTTCTGTATGTTTAAATTGTCTTAGAAAGAGTGGTTACTCGCATATGACGAAACTTTTGCAATTGTACATATGTATATTTGACCGAAAGAATTAAATTTCACATGTTAACATAATTATATTTGACTTTTTGATCGTACCTTGGAATTGAATACTATTTATAATGAACTTATGGAAGTCACATTTTATTATTTATTTATAAATAAATTAGGATTTTAGAACTGATTGACAGTTTTGATTTTTGACGGTAGAAGGTTTCTCAATATGTGAAAGATGAAGATAAATTATAAACGTTAAATTAAAGATATTATCTATATGGATTGTTGTATGTACTTTGAAGTTGGCTTCAGTGTATGGGTTATTGAATATTTGCGGGAATTGTCTTTTGAGCCGCATGGCCAGTGACCTAAGTTCCTCTACACCTTGTCTCTGCAGCATGTAATGGTCATCTTTAGTCAGATTGATATTCCAGTTCTTGATGGCCACGATATCCTCTGGGCACATTATTGATTCGGCTGTTATCATTGTCTTAAGCTCATTCAACTTTTTAAGTTCCTCGATTTTTTTTTTCGATGGATAACGTGTACCATGCCTGGATACCATCCACACTTGCATCGGCTGGCAGTCTGTAACATATTTATGACAGCTATAAAATAATTTATTAACAAAATTTTTTGGTGTCTATTCTGATGAATAGTTAATTGTATTGGTTATATTTTTTAAAGTGATTTATCTTTTAATATCATAAAAATATTAGCTGCTTCAAAAAGAAATACTTAACGTAGATGGAAACAATGATATTGAATACTATTTAAAATACTATCTTGTGAAATGTTGGTAGTAATCATTCAGTCTAAAAATAAAACTTTAATAAATCTGTCGGTGAAGGAATCACCGAACGAAGTAAAACTAAAATATTACTGAAGTATAGTTTCAAAAAACTAGGTAAATTATGAAACACGAACTATAATAGTTTATTGAATGTAAAACTTAAATTTTGGTACTAAATTTGAAATAAATCCGGCATCAAGTCACATTTCAACATAAAATTAAAACAACTAGATACCGTAAAGATACTGTATATTGAACTACTAAATGTTACACGTGTTGCAGGTGGTAATCATAAATCATGATATTTATAAGAGGACTCTTTGGCCAAAAATGTATGCAAATACATTGCCAGACACCAGTAAAGCTTCATAAAATTATACTGTTTGCTGTACAAAAACAGTAAAACACACATAATCGAAACACATCATTTATGAATTAATGTGCTTAGTCATTTTTCATCAAGGAGGCAGACAAATAGAAAATAGTAATAATTAACGAGTGATGAATTTATAGTATTTATACTGTTAATGCTTAATGTTTGGTTTGAATACAAATTGAGAAACATGCTTTTCATTGTGTTTCCAATACCTACCTAATTATTAGTCTTTCATAAAGGTGCAGTGTACCTATAGAGTATAGAATCAACACATAAATACATTTTCTGTCGACAATAACTAATTGTTCTAACGAATTTCTTAGAAAAACATGAGTACCTATCTAAATAGTAGACGGCAGTGTAATATAAACACATTAGAGAATAATATTAGTCATATAAGTGTCATAAATAATAATGTTCCTATAATAGATAATTATCAAGAAAACTTTAATTTGATAAAATAGTAAAGTATAAGTGATTTCAATTTGTGAAGAAGTGAATATTTTGCGAATTGAATACAATAATATACTGATTTTAATTATTTTTTAATACATAGTTTGAGATCATATAAGAATAATAAAATATTATTTATAAAATTCCAAATCAAATAATATTAGAAATCACCAGTTCCAATTAAGTTATATTGCCTACATTTGAAGACGAGATTGTTGTATTTTTCTATTTTAGAAAAAAACAATAATTACATTTATTAAATTTTTTTTTAAGTAGTTTTAATTTATAAAATAGATTTAATATTTCAATACAATATTAAAATTGATAAATAATAATAATATGTTTATCAAACATAATACTGCATATTATATAATTTTATTGCTAACAAATAATAAATAACCTGTAGGCTCTTAATATTGAGATTTATTATTGTACTAAAAAGTAACTGTTGAATAGCATGGGATTATGTAAAATGAATTTAAAAAAAAGTATTGAATATTAATATATAGTAATTAATAATATAAGATATTTTAAATAACCTTTTGTAAATACAACGTCTGTTATTATCTTTATTTATATTATAAATTCATTACTAGAATTACCTACTATAATGTAGTTTTTATAGGTAACAATAAAAAGTCTTGTGCCTTGCAAGTAATATTTTATCGCCATTTTTATTAAGCTTATTCATCCGTCAGATTGTTCATAAAATGGTAAATGTAAGAATTGGAATATTATAAGAAATTATGCTGTAATAATACTTTTAAAAAACAATGATATTTTATCACATTATTTGAGTCTGCAAACAAATAAATAAAGTCACGTACCTTGGCGTATATAATATTAAATATATTTCTATATGTATAATGTATTTATGGTGAATTTGTAATAAAATAAAAAAATTATTGTCGTGATTGTCTAATTAGAACATGATTAGGTAATGCTTAAATTTAATAATAATAGAAATTTGGAGAAATTTAAGGATTTAAAATATATCAAAAATTACTTTTGTAATAAAATAATGTTATAAATTTTATTCAACTCATTGCGCCGCTAAAGCAGGTTCAAACAACTGAAAAATAAGCTCAGCTGCTGTACTTTTAATAACATGTTTCGATTGTATAACTATTTTGTCGTTGAATTGGTTATTGTAATCGTGATTGCTATGTTCATCTTTATTTTAGTAATACAATAGAACTAATTATTGCCAAAACTATCGCATTACATATATACCAACTGTCTATAAAGTCAACTATTTATAATGACTTCTAGCGAAGTATTGTAGAATGACGAGAATAGGTTCAATATGGTTTAAATATTTTAAAAATATAATCATAAACAGAAAATGATAATAGGTATGTACAAATTTGTGGAATGTTTCAAGTTTCTACGGTTTATACTTTTTTTTTTAGTTAAATTCCAGAGAACAACATAATAACTTAAACCGTTAAAAGAGAAATAATTATTTTATATTTAAAATTTTTATTTTGTCAAAAATTGAACTTCAAATTTTAATCGATTTTGTCAAAAGTTGGTTTTGGCTGTTATGTAGATATTATCTTTTTTTAGTTTTTCTTGATTATTAAGAACAGTACAAGTATTTAAGTATCAATTACATCAAATTTACTATACCGGAAACCACACTCAAAGTTGAAGTATTTTACTGCTTCAAAACAAAGACATAAAGAAAAATATATCGTACATTATTATTAAATTAATAAACATTACTCATTCCACTCTTATTTTTAATAATAATACTTGTAAGATCATATCATGTGTTTATTTATATTAGCCAGTAGGTACTTAAGATTTTTGTAACAGAAGTAGTAGCTGACTCATATAAACTATAAAGTTTTTCAAATCAAATATAATATTTCTCATATCACGTTATGTTCTTATAAACCCTATAATGCAAGTACATGATAAAATATTCAAATAATGAATTAACCATTGACCATCGATCTCAAAAATAATCACTGCTATTTCCACTGTTATTTTTGGCAGCTTCCTGGATGGAGTGGTAGAGACAAAGCTACTCCAAACCAACAAACGTTACTCCTCCCTTCTCTTAAGAAAAAATTGTATAGTTTTAATTTTAATTAATAAAAAATGAAAAGTTGAATGTAAATTAATAGATTTAAAATTGGACTTCTAGAAAATTAGTACCGTTTACTTTAATTTTTGGGTTATAAATGTAAAAGTAGCTGTGTTCATATTATAGTTATTGTTGTAAATTTAATAGTGCATGCCTTATGATCTCCTTGAGAAAACGTAATATAAGCATTATAACACGAGCACCTTGGTCACTCCAACTACAGTTTCGATTGTATAGTGATTTCCATAAAATATGTATATTGTATATATATATATTATAATGAATACAAAGAAGGAACTTTTGAAAAAATAAAAATTTAAAAATTATCTGTCCTCTCTGTGGAAAACTTCTCGAAACAATAGCGTTTTCCCCCACTTGTCCGTCAACCGAATATCGCAAAGTGATCAGGCGCCAAGCGCCTTTGGGCAGTTGTCGATATCATATTTCATGGCACACACCCGATGGGCAGAATACTTCGTACGGTATACACACACGCACCTGGCGGAGTCTTTAAGTCGTTGCCAGCCACCGCGCCGTAAGTGGTCTTCGTGCCGAAGTACACGTACGGTGTTTGGACGGTCCGGTAGCACACGTGGTCGTAGTCCGTCTGCTGCTTGAATGACGACGAGATGTGCTGCCAGTCGGCAAGCCCTGCCACGGACGTGACTATCGCCGCGAACAGCAACGGTACCGCAAACAGACAAGCAGCGACCGACATCGTTATGACACTGAACGGCGAACGGTGTCGCACAGATATTATTGCGATTCGTCGCCGTCGAAACCGCCGCCGTCGATGCCGCCACTGTTGCACCGAGTCAGAGTCGTATGGCGATTGGTGGCGCGGGGTTGATGAAGAGACGAGCGAGAGGGAGTGGGACAGTCGGATGGGTAAATATTTATATTTTTCATTACCGTTTAACGTATCTATGATAAGAATAAATGGCTCACATTGCGCGAACCTACCTACCTACCGCAGACTAAAGGATTACACGCAGTGCTCGAAACAGTTGTCAACAATGACTTGGGTGTCGGTTATCGAATTTTATTCAGCGCTCTGCAAAGACGTATTAATGTATGTGAACTGTTTGTCACCAACACCGTATCACAGGCTTCCAAGTCCCATAATTATTAAACGAAATCCAATACACTTCTGTACCGATACGACAGCGCCTAATGAGTAATGTGTATCGAGTATTCGTGTGTACGTACATGTTATCTTTTTCGAAAAATGTCGTTATCTTTGCAGTGCCGTTAAGCTCTTTTTCTCTTCCATAGTTAATGGGCATATACTCCATCCGGTGAAAGAACGTGCGTTGTGTCGACGTGAAAAGTCATCGGTTCTTCTGGGCATGCCGCATCTCCACGCGACATACCGCCATAGTGGAATCGGTCTTGAATTTTGATAGCAGGGATGAGTTACATGGACATCCACAGAATCGACGATAAAAGTATAGATAGACACCAAGTTGTATGCCATCTCACTTGCTCGATGATGAAACTGGTTTCGTTATCAATGCTCAGTTCGTTTTTTAATATGTCTTTGGTCCTATCGTAATACCGGTACCCAAAGCGTAAACAATTCAAGTTGCTGATTGAGCAATTAACCGCTAGGTGCTATAAATATATAAAACTACTATACTTAATAAATAGTTGTATATTTCTTTGATTGCTATCAACAAATGTCAAAAACCGGTAACCGGTAACCACTTATAGACCGGATTAATAGGTAAAATTTTATTTAAAAAATAATTTTGTATTTTGTCAATTAATAACGAAACAAATAGGTACAAGTATAGAATAGATTGAATTATTTGTTTATTAAAATTTAGAAGTGCGACTACTCTTGCCATATTATACGAAATAATAATAAATAGATTAACGTTTTTTATCGTCAAAATTGAAAATTTAAAACATTAAATAAGAAATACCTATTGCAATAGTGTAATAGTGTTAATATAAAAACAGAAAATCACTGCTTCCATCCCTTTAATGCTCATGTATAATATGTATAATGTGTTTAAGTCTAGGGCTCGATTTATAAATACAAAGGTCCTGGGTTCATTCTAAGACCCCTATAGTAATGGCCATTGTTTTTCAGTTCCACACAATAATAAATATTTTAGCCAAAAATATGGTTGAAAAAGTTTAATTATTTCAAGATAATTAACTCAAAAAATAAATAATATGATACAATAAAAATAATTAATTTCATTAAATTATAATCAGATTCCGTTGTTTCATTTTTTTTTTTTTAACTATTTAAGAAAAATCTAACAATCTGAGTTTATCACTTTTATTACTTGAAAGATCAATGCTTTATAGTAAATTTATTTGTATCATCGAAGTTTGTAATCTATTTTTTATTAGTTTTATTTAAAAAAATGACATTTTCTATTACAGTTGGATATTATTAAGCTATCAAGAAAATATACATATAAGCAACACTATTTTTATATTAGAAAAAGCACATTGTAAACTGTTTTAATCTATAATTTTGCATAAAAACATTTCCATTTCTCATTATGTTCACATATTTTTTAATGTATACTTACAAATATACTTTTTGAATTGGTATGAATTCATTGACAAGTACAAATTAATTTTAACAAGATTTTTTACAGCAGATAACTGCTTAAGAGTTTCTACATTTTTAAATATATTTAAAAAGTCAACATTTTTCCAAATTGAGTCGTAAGTAGCTATTCTTTTGGATAAAATAAATGATACCATCAATTGATCGATTACCGAAACTATAACCTTTTAACCTTTCTTTTCGTGATTACTAAATTAAGGCTTTTTAATTCTTATTTAATTAATTTAATTTCACGTTTTCTCTGTACAAGTTATGTGTCTTTATTTGTAGCTAGCTTTGTTAAAACCAAAACATATTTGTATTATATCAGCGTGTACAGCATAGATATAGCCAACTAACTTGTCGTGTACTCGTGTACAATTCCATAGTATCTACTTTTTTTGTTATTTTTTTAAATTAGGTAATATTTATTAAGTAAGGTTTTAGATACTTAAGTATTTTTTTTTTGTTCTTACGTTATATTAGTTCATGCAATAAATCATAATCAAATTAAATTTCATAAAATTAAAGGGTTTTTTGAAAATTAAATGTACTATAATTTATTAAATTACCTAAATATTTTAAACAGTATTATTTTCTATTTAGTTTGAATTTTGTATTGGTTGATTACAGTTATTAATCGTATAAATTATACCTATAAATACAAAGAATATATTCAAAACATCTAATATAAACATATAAAAAAACAATAATAATAGGATTATTTAAACGTTAGGTAATAAAAAAAGAAGTACACAGTCATTTGGGAATGAATTTTATCTTCATTCACTTTGAATTTTCTACTTTGGCCCTATAGTAATTTGGCAGTACTGTGGTCGAATATTTATTTATGAAGAACAAAAACATATATTTAGGTACTATTACTAGTTAGTAACTTGAAATAATTTTGTATACTGTACAATGAAAACGAATTGTATTATTTTATTATTATTTTTTTTTTGTAAAAATCATAATATTTGTTTTCGAGTAACCGAAATCAGTATAGATAATATTAATTGGATATGTGTTTGAAATTTTAGCGGAAATCCTGAAGAGAGAATCCCTATTTCACATTACTATTTGAACGACAATTAACTTAATGTACAAATCATATGACCACTATTGACACTCCCGCATATTACATTTGAATCTATTATTAAATATTTTGTATGAGTGACTGAAGTTTAAATTTTGACGAAATAGAATGTGTAAAATAGCAATTTCGAATAAAACAATTTTCTCATTTTGTTGTACCTAATTAAAAATAAAATAACTGTAGGTACTTGAATTGTTCATAAAATATTTATGTTAATATTTTCCATACAAGGAATAATTATCAAATAATTTTTAATAGTTATATATTTATTAATTTCAAATACTCACAAAAATATTTTTAAATAATAATAAAAAAACAATAATATTGTAACCGTTATTCTTCGTTTAATATCTAATTTTGTACAAATTTGAATTTAAAAAATCTATACAAAATGTGTGTTTGTTTTTATTATGAATTACTTATGGAGAACATTGTATTAAATTTTTGATGAGGAATAAATTAAAAATTGAACATATTATACACTTTTAACTGCAAAATAATTTGTGAACCAGTGATTTTGGCTAATCTTATATTTTAATTGGTATGCTTCTATTTGGAGATGATTTATTTTATTATTAGTTTTATCTATCAATCTGCCTATAAAAAGTTGTATAAGGTGATGAGTTACTTTTTAATTTATTAAGTTTAGTAGCTCCTATCTCAATATTTTGATGAAAAATTGTATTGTTATTTAAAATTAATATGCAATACTCAATAAGTATACTTACAATACTAATTGATACTTATGTGTTTCAACTTTTGGGGGCTGATAAATTTCTAAATTTCTTTGATTATGTATGTGATGCAATTATGTAGACTGAGTGTAGTTGGCTGATAATTTTCATAGGTTATTTATATTGATATTCGTTTAATTGCCATTATTATATCGATGTATAAAAAAGAACCTTTCAAATGTTATTTTTTTATCGTTTTATATTATGACTGTTTATTGCAGTTTCCTTTTGGTGTTATTCATTAGGGAGAATCAAGCCACAAATTTTTCATTAAAGTCTTTTGCGATGACGGCCTCATACCTTTTGCTTTAATAGTATTTTATAATTAGTATTGAATGTCTACGTATTCCTTTATAGTAAAGTTTTGAGATTAGTAACAAGAGTACACATGCATAATTCTTATAACAGTCTTTACGAATCTGTATTCGGGTTAGCTAAGTTAGCTTCTTGTCTTTGTTAGTTGTGCTGTGGCTGATAATTGTTACCCTTTTTCTTATATCTTCTAGTTTTGGTCAATCGTCTTTTATAGTGCTTCAAGACTACAATACACGTTATGAAAACAGGTTAGATTTTTAGCTTTTCTACTATTCTCCATATATTTCTAGTTTCTATATTTTAAAACAAGAATCTATTTAATAGGCATCCCCAAAAATTTTTCTAGAGTGGGGGAATCAATTTAAAAAATAAATGGAGATTTTTTTATGTAATTTATATCTATATTTTGTTTATAATACTTTATTATGTTTCGTCATAATTACATTAAATTATTACAATTGGGTAACAAATTTAAAATTCTAGGGGGAAAGGAAGTGCCCTCCCTCCTTGGGGATGACTATTGATCTACACGAATATAAGAAATTACATATCGATACTATCTAAAACTGGAGCACTGCGCTGACAACTGAAGATAATCATCTAAGAATCTACCAAAATTATGTACTTTACATATTTATAGTAAAGTAAAAAACACTTACATTACTTCACCAGCACATTTGAACCAAAAAATCCAGAACTTATCAAAAGTGTATGCTCTGTTTTTCATATCTACCTCCAAATTAGGTTAGATATTAGATAATATATTTATTTCTCAGGGAATTTTTTTACCTAGATTTTTCATGCTTTCTCTACATAACTTCACTCAGTTTAAGACTTACTCAATATCTCAAATGTTGCTGATAGAAGACAAGTGTCAATTCTTGAATTTCTATCTAACTTCCTTACTGGTTAGATAACTTTAATATTCATAAGATATAACCCTTCTAACTTTCAATATAATTTTAATTTTACTAGTTTAAATGAACCATATACTCCAATTTTCATTATGCCATTATCTTAATTATATGTCTAATGTGCGCCACTAATCACGATCCACTTATAACCCATGATCCATTTTTTCATTTTAATTTATACAAATTATATCAACCGACTTTTTTTATCTTTTTATGTTGTAACCTTATTGTTTTTGGAACTTTTCTGTATTAACGAAAAAAAATTATATACAAGTATATTATCCACTAAAGTATCTTTTAAATGGGTTAATTCAGTTTCACAAGATAAATTGTGAAATAATTTAATCATAGTTAAGAACTTAAGTATAATAAAAAAGTATTACAATATTTATTATATATGTTAAAGATTTATTACAACAAAACGATAAAATAATATTATTGATTTTGTAATGTAATATATTTTAAACATTTTTATTTTTATGAAATGTATTTATTTTTATTTTTATTGAGAATCAAAGCTTCATTAACAAACTTCTTCACCCTCATTTATGTCTCTGGTGTAGTCTTATTCAATAATATTCTAAGTAAGTCTCTAACAACATATATTGGGCATTGTGTACACATTACCCTATCATCAAGTTTTATCGTTAAAGGGTTTTCATTTAAATAAATAGTAACTTCCTGTGATTTTTCGTTTTTGGCATTTTCACAATCGTAGACTACAACCATTATGTTACATGCATAATTGCCTAAGAATGAACTCTTCCATAGTCTATCATTCACCTTATCATTTTCCACCATTTTTTTGATTGTCAGTGTTTCCTTGTCTCGAAACAAACGAAATCCGGTGATTAAACTTAGACAATTTGAGGTATGTGCAGCAAAAAGTTTGAACTTTTTACTGTCAGTGTCTCTAAAAAACAAAAACAATGGTTTTTAAATTTTCTTTTTTTATAGTAGCTTATACTTATAACAATTATTTAAATACAAGTATTAATTTTACCTTAAAAAATCCAATATGTCTCTCATCATTGGGTGACCAAAATTCATAATTTTAGGACTACTATATCCATTTTTAATGTAATATTGTATATCATGCATGCGTTCAAACATCTAGAGAAATATATTTTTTAAATAGTTTATCTAAAATTTTATTTTTACAAATTACAAGAACAATAAAAGTTACTTTAAAAATATAAAAAAATATATTTACTAGTAGATCTTCATAATTAAATAGTGAGCACCACGCGTGTCCTTGAGATTCAATAGAATAGTTATAAACAAAACTATTTGCACATGCTAAATACATTGTCCTCACTATACCTACAAATAACAATTTAAAAATCTATTTTTAATAAATGCTCATTATGTTAGTAATAATATATTACTAATAAATAACAATTAAATTACTTATTTATGAATATACTTAAATTCAAATTTGACACTTCTGGTTGCTTAAATTGTGTTAAATTTTAATTATTGAATAATTATTACAAATCATTGATTAGACATATTTTAGACTTAGTTTATATAGTACGAAATAGTTTTAAAAGAAACAGCATTCCTATGTGTCAAGTTTAAACCGATACATTACGCTAGGATACTTATAAACATTTTTTCAGATTTTTCTGGAGCACCTAAACTTTTGTTAATCATCAAGCTGACATGTTTATGACGTTATTTTAGACATCGGAATCATAAAAAAAATTTAAAAATAATTTCAAAAAATGTTAACGCTCATATGCCTGATTATGCAATGAATATGTTACTTTCTGGAGAGTTTTGAATTATTTTTGGAATTCGATAGTGCTGAAACTAAATTTGAAGCCTTTTTAGAAGCGATAAGGATTCTAGCAGCATCCGGAATTTTCCAGGTAAAATATAGAAAATTCATATTAAATTTTTGATATAAATGTTAGGATATCATAATGTGTAAGCGATATTTTGACAGATATTCAGTATTGTAGGGAGTCAGATTTATTATTTGGTGTGGTAAATGCACACATGCATGTAATTTATGTTTTGTAGTAGTATTGATTTTATATTTGAAAAAAAGACTACAAAAATACATTTACATTTATACGATTATTAAAACTGTAAAATCTTATAGTTAAATACTTCTTAATAAGAGTTGTAAATACAAAAAAATTTAAAAATGTACTTCTTAGAGGCTTAAATTTATGGCCAGACACAAGGATAAGGTAGAACAAAAATATAATTAAAACATAGCTTATATAGATATATTAATTTTATAATTTAATATAAGTAAACAGTGTGATAGTACACATATTTAGTGAACGTCATTCGGAAATGCATGTACTAAAAGAAAACTTCTTTGAACTCACAGAAGTTGTGAAGAGATTCAATAGCATAAATCATTAGTCTAACAAGAGTTGAACTAAAAAATAATAAAGCCTCTATAATAATTAGAAACCAATTGATACTTCCTGATAATGAATTTAATCGTTATGCAGTCCTAGCTAAGGCAGTATAGCGCCGAGTGGCGTGATATACCACGATGGAGTACATAATGTATAGTAAAGAGGAATCAGAGCAATTGCATCTACCAAATAAATGATAGCTAGGGTTAAATATTTCAAAAACTTTTAATCGTTACTTAAATTATTATATGTACTTGTACTAATGATAAAAGTTATAGAGTTATAGCGCCCTTTTTACTAGTATAACTTGTTGATGAAGAAACAATTTATAATCGAGTGATTATATACTCTCAATTTTATGCTCAATCTCAGAAAAAAGAAAAAGGTACATTAATATATATATATATACAAAGATTACCACTTGTTATTTTTGCACGCCATTCTTCAAATTCCGTAGATTGGTTTGGAAATAATAGTTCACGAATTCTTGTTGTTAGTTCACAATTATGATCTGGGCATACATTTTTATAATAAACATCTTCCACATCATCCGATGGAGTAGAATTAAGACTTACATCATCTTGTATAAATGTATCCTTATCAAACTGTGAATTAAAAGAAAAAGCAATTAAAGTTTATTTTAATTGCATAATTAACAGTAGTTAATAATAACTTATCTTGACGCATGATTATTGTAAGCCATAGATAATTTATTTTATATCAAATACATTATTATTTAATTAATTTATGATTAAATGTCATTACACAATTAACAAGTTATTTTTAACTCTATATAATTTTATGTATACAATTTATATAGTAGTTAGTTAATTAATTTTTAAACTTTTTAAAGTTTTGGTAAGTAGGAATACTACTTCCTCATAATTTTAGTAATCTTGAAAAATAATAAGAATTTGTATAAAACTTAAATTAAAAACTAGGGATTATTTTTAAATAAGTTACTATACTTTTATTCGGTTATCGGTTATTATCTGAACTTGAGGTAAATTGTTTACAGTTGAGTTTTCATTAATTTTGAGAAACTCATTTAAAAAATCTTTACCATTTTCAACGCATCTTTTTGCAGATTCTGAATTAAACTAAAAATATATAAAATGTTGTATTATTGATCTGTAATGAATAATATCTATTATTTTATATTGTTATTATTACCTCTATATCTGCTTTTTCGATATTTACTACTATGTTCTTTAATCTGGAATTCCATCGTTTTCCTAATTTTTTTATTGTCAATGTACCGTGTTCGGTATTTCCCTTTGGTTGGGCATCAGACGTTTGATTTTCCCAATTCATTATAGCATTTATAACGATTCTACTTTCATTTGGTAAGGCATTTAAGGCTTCATCATTATTTAAGTACAAATTTTTAAAATGAGTTTGAAAATCTTCTAATTTTTTAATATCAGCGATAACAGAAGATTTCGGAAATTTTGGTCCGTGTCTCATCACTAAGAATGCTTTTGAATCCGTACACGTCTCTAATAAAAATAAATATTATTAAATTGTATAAATGATTATTTTTAGAAATTGCAAAAGTTTTCTAACTTATAAAGTCTTTTTCTTTACATATAGTTGACAATTTTATAAATTAAGCTCTAATTAACGTAAATTCAATGAATACTGGACATTCTGTTTCGCTAAAACTGTTCACTAATTAAACATGTCCAACAGCTAACAGGGCAGCTTTCTCCATTTTCACATAAGAGTGTGAAAATAAGTTCGTAGATACCTACTATACATCTTATTTTTTAAAATAATATAAGTTAAAACAAATTATATTTTTTATTGTGAACACTTAAAGTTCAGTTCAATTTTTCAAACTTTGAACAGTTTGGTTTTATCAGTTTTTATTCTCACTGACATTGCATTCACCACAACTTTTTTGGGGGTGGAGATTCTGTGATATGTTTAATATGACATGTCACATAATAAGGATACCTGCACCCACTGTAAGCCACCCCAAGTAAGCTTTTTCAATGATGTAGAGTCAACGGCTAATATAATCTTGCCATTTGACTGTTAGATTTTTGTCTACAATCAGTGATCGTCCTACATACACCTCCGCACAATGCTACATTCTCATTTGTTAACGAAGTAATTTATAGAATTTCTGTCTTCTCAAGAGCTTCTGGCATAATAATAGTATATCCCCCCTCGTGTCACCCCACAAAAATCATGTTAAAATTATTTGTTTTCCAAATCTTATGTATTTTGTTTTAATATTATGATAATAATTATTTTACGAGTATTATTCTCTAAAAAATAATATGCCAGTGGTAAACTGTGAGTAAAATTCTTCAAATTTTTTTTCATTTTCTTTCAATTTTCTTCAAACATCTTTATATTAATATAACAACACCTAATTGTTATCAGTTATTAATCATGATTTTTGTTTTTTATTTTCATTTTCCTGACCATTTTTTTTTTTTTAAATATTATTTAACAAATTCTATGAGTAGGTACTGTCAATGTTTCTTTATTGGAGTCACGCAGCATAGCTCATAAAGTCATAAGTAGGGAGCAGATTTAAATGCTCTAAAAAACAAGAAAAATGCCTTAAAAAATACGATTTAATGCTTTAAAAAAATGCTTTAACATCAAAAAATGCACTAAAAAAATGCCCTAAAAATCTTGAACATGAAAATAAAAATATCTAAATATTTATTATTATTATTTAGGTATATTTATTTTTTTAGAATGAATGTTGAAAAAATGACTTAAAAAACATAAAAATGCACTAAAAATGTCAAAAAATTGCTTTAAAATGTTATTAAGTCTTAAAAATGTAAAAAAATGCAAAATATAATTTACATTTTTAATTCCTTGATGTATGTAATGAACTTTTGTTTGGAAACCAATGTTTTCGGACAATCAGAAAAAAATGTAATTTGCATTTAAATCCGTTCCCTAGTCATATGTTAGTGTTGCCTTTGCTTAGTGGGTCGTGGGTGCACACTAAGCCTCTAAAAAAACTGAATTCTCATAACATAAAATATACGTACTATATTATGCGTACGTTATTAATTATTATTATGTTTAATAATGTGATATAATAACAGTTTAGTGCCATTTTATTAAAAAAATATGTGTGCATCATCATACATTAACCTAAAATTATGAGTATTCTATTATTATGCCAAAATTCCAATAATTGTGTTAAATAATTTAAAGGATTTTATTTTATTATTTGAAATTATTATTTTATGTTCCACGACAAAAAATCATAAAAACAAAAATTTATATCATAAAACATTTTTGGTTGTAATGGTGGTTACATTATATAAAAAATTATTATCTTAAATTTTTTTAAAATATCTAGCTAAAAACATAAAAAATATTGTTATGAATCAAAATAATTTTGATTTTTGCTACCAATTACTATGTACATAGCCTATATATATCTAATAGGTATAATATAAATTGAGAATCTTACTTGGCGCATGGTAAGGTGTCATTGAGCCCAACATATAAATTACACTTTCCTTAGACTGTGGATATGTTGGAAGAACTGGATTGACGAAATGTTTTTCACATTTTACAATTACTTGTAATGTTGATACTAATATCACAATAAGAACAAACATTGTTCTGTTTTTTGATAAAATGATCTACTAAAAAAATTTTAAAAATGTAATTTGAGTTACATACATGAATAAGTTTGGTTTATTTTTATAATTTTTTTTTCCTTTTTTTTAATAATGGAATTTTTTTATATTATAAATCCTGAGAAGTAGTATAAAAATAATTGCAATAGGTTTTATTACCAGAATTGGAAGAATTGGGTACATGTAAAGTAAATGTAGTATGTGTTTATTTGATTAAATTAAAATGTTGATAGTTTTATATAATACATTACCCTTAATATATAACTCATAAATAATTTGACACACAATTTTAAAACTAATATTTAGCTTTCTTACAATCTATTTGTCTAATTAACTATGTACTAATTTTATTGTTACAATATAACAATTTTTAATAATATTGCAATTGTTTAATTCCAAAAACCACTTTGTATAATTTATCTTTTAAATAATATATATATTTAATAATCAACAAGACAAAACTTATTTTGATTTATAGAATATTATTTGGATCACTATTTACCCCACTTCATCCAGATTAAAATAAATCTATATTTCTATCATAAAACAGATAAATAGAAACAGATTCAACAAACTTTTAAAAGCTGATGTAAGCCCAACATTGCTTAAATTGAAATTCGTTTTCATGTATTTGCGTAAAAATATGTACAGAATTAAGAAAGCAAATGATAAAAGTAATCATTGTAATTTTGCTCAATGGTATTTTACTATGATATATTTTTTTTTTTTTTGAATTACCTTATCAAAAAACGTACATATTATAGTTTTACTAATTTGATCTGTAACATTGACAACTATATTGGTCTAGTAATTTTTATGTATATAGAGGACAAGAGAACAAAGAAACATTAGTTTAAAAAATATATATTTTATACAGAATCCCCTAGGGAATCAATATAACTAGTTATACGGGCATGACAAACTCGGGATCCCGAGCTACGAGTTGACTTTAATTAGTCGGTTCAACTTGGTCCTCTAGTTACAAGGGTTGAAATTGGGCCAACAACCCGACCTCTTAAAAAATCCCTATGTTTTGAATCTTTTCACCAAGCCTTGGTACTACATTAATATAAATAGAAATAGGAAAGAAACATTATGAAGACAAGGATAGGAATATCGAATATCAGAACACCGTATCAACCCAGCGCTCTCAACAATGTGATCGTTGAAATAAAAAAAATTATAAAATACCTTTAGCATTCGTCCATAAAGTATCCTGGACTAGCAATCTAAACATGAAATATAATATTACTAGGTACTATATTCCATAGAGACGCACAAAATAACAAGCATGGGAAAGGAGTAGGTTTTATTGTAAATAAGATGATCATGTCCTGTGTCAAGTTTTTTGTAGCAATTAATGACGGAGTTGTTTTATTTGAATAATAGAACGAATATCCGATATAGTTATAGTTAAAGGCTATGCGTCAATTGAAAAGAAATAGGAATAGGAAAAGAATCTATTTCATGAATATCTAGAAAAAGCTTTCTCGACTCTCTATCAAAGAACAACATAAAAATAATAGTTATAGGTTTCGATACACAAATGGGTAAAGAAGAAATCTTTCAACCAACAATTAGATATGAAAACTTACACATCACATCAAATAACAAATTAAACTGATGAACTTCATAACGTCCAAAAATCTTATATTTAGTAACACATATTTCCAAAGGAAAAAATATTTACAAGCATACTTGTACCTTACCGTCCTAAGCAGATAGGAAAACGAAATCCAAATCCATCAACTTATCATAAAAAAGAGGTACCAAACTAGCATAAAAAATGTCAGAACATTCAGAGGGATAGATGGAAACTATGACCAATATTTAGTAATTGCGAAGTTTGTGTTGACATTATTTGTAAAATGGAGGAATAAAAAACAACTGAATAGTACAACTAAACTGGATAAAGACAAGATTTAAGACCTTGATGAGGTTAAAGTGTATAAAACCAATTTAGCACAGACACTTAATAATGTGTAAAACAGGTTTCAAAGTGAAAATGAAAAAATAAGTATGAAAACAAAATTAAAAACCAAAGCAGCAAATTCTTGAGAATACTTAAAAATAAACGAATAACCTTTGGTACAACCAAGAATGTCAGTATATAGTGGACAGATGTAAAACAAAAAGACAATAATACTAAATTCGACCCAAGCTAATATAGATAACTACACTTAAGCAAGAGAAATGACTAACAAAATAATCAGATAATAAAAAAAATTTCTGAAAAGAAAGTTCTAGAAAAATAGTGATACCTAACCCTAGATTCTTCGAAAAATAAAATTCAATTAAAGATAGTTTGAAGGAACGCTTTTAAATAATAAATGATTATTAGAACAATTTGCTATCAGACCCAGTAAAAATGGTCAATAACTTTAAGAACTATTTTAGAAAACTATTAAATAGTATAAATAATCAAAATAATCACTACCTTAAATAGTAAAGAACAAGATTTATCACAGAATAAAATAATTTCTACAAATTAAGGTTGAAATAATTGAATCGATGATTGCAAAACCGACACGAATCACCTTTTTTTGTAAAACGTCATGAGTCAGAAAACTTTAAAAATCAATAATAAAAAGCATCATATTATTTATATACACAAATTATGTATAATTAGTACATAATATTATATTTATACAAGTATTCATTTTTAAATAAGATTTTTTTCAGAATTATTTATATTATTATACACTTTTTATTAATTATTCAAAAATTTAAAAATAATGACTAATGTCGTTTTTGCAATCGTCGATTCAATTAAAATATGTTGGAATGTTAAAAAACATATCGCTTACCTATTTAGATGAATAATCTGTTTATCATAAACAATAGAAAATTTCGAAATACGTGTCTGCTTTTTATTAAAATATAGTTTTTATAAACTAAGTACATACGATTTACAAGTAGGTATTACAAATAACTATAAGATTGTACGAAATAGTTAACGAATTATTCTATAAAATGGTATATAAAGCAAAAATGTTTACTAATTCTCATTAAAACAATATTTAAATTAATATCATAGAAAAACGTATGTTAGGTATTGTTTGTAGAGTGTATCTTGCATTTTCGTCATTGAGTAAATAACTGTAATTTAGGTGTTAAATTATTTGAATCAAATAATAAATTATTGTATACGAATTCTAAGTGAAGACTGTTTATCAACTTATGTTCTTATAAGTATATTTCCAGATGTATAAATATTGCTATCACAACAATTTTTTTAATAAAAAATTAATTTTTAATAAAAACATCTCATTTGAAAATTTTATTGTATATTTAAAATATTTTAATACACGTTAAAAGTTTCAATTATTCACGAATAATATTTTAAAATTATAATAAAAAACTAAAATTACTATTTTAAATAGCATTTATAAAAATGTAGCTGGTTTTTTACGTTCTACGGTAGATCAAACGCTAAACTATAAATTCATCGGTAAATCACTTATTGGATCGGTCTACTTATCTTGACTTTTATGAGTAGGGTCATAAATTATATACATTTGCATATTTTTATTAGTTGGTCCAAAAAATAGCTAGTTTATACTAAAATTTGTTTCATAACCTAACGATGCTGTATACAAAATTTTATTTTGCATATTTATAATATACATATAATATAAAAGAGTATTTTTTAGTATTTTGTTTATTTTTGCAGCAAATTTAGGATCTTAAAGACTCAGGAATCATAAAATATTAATTTGTTTCACTCATATAATATATAAACTTTATTATGGGTAATTCAACTCATTTATAAAAATCTAATCTTAATCACTAATAATTAGGGTCAACAAATATATGTTCATATACCATTATATTTTATCTTACCTATCGGTTATCGTAGTCGTAAGTCGTGGTTTTACACGTGCGGTGCGTTATTAAATCGATCATTTTAAAATGCCGAAAGTGAAAAAAACTTTTAACACTAGTCGTGTCAATAGTTACATCTCTGAATTTGGAGAAAAAATATTTTCTTCGAATGGGAATATATTATTGTTTTGTAAAATATGCGAGGTGAAGGTTACATGTGAAAAACAATTTATAATACCACACTTTTTTTTAATCATTGGCAATAATTGTATTATAGAATACTGAATAATATATTAGTATATAAAAAAAATGAATCTTTTAATTAAAAATATAAAATAACATTTTTTTTAGAGCATATTTTAAGGGCATATTTTGGTAAATTTTAAGGCATAACTCCATGCATATTTTATAGATTTTTAGGGTATATAATTTTTGGCCTTAGTTATGAGTCTTTGTTGTTTTGAAAATATAAGTATACATTAAGATACAATGGTTCTCTAACTGTGTTATGCGCTTCACTTGGAAGGTATGAGTACTTATATATGAGGGTACGTGAAATATAAACATGTTCAATTGTATAACTGAATAATATTATTACTTATTAGCTATTGTCTATTTCTAATGAGTAGAACAAAAATAATTTGTTAATTTAATTCATACAAAATAAATAAATTATTCTGTGCATAAGATATAGGTAAGACTACTATCATTCGAAACTGTTGACTTAGGGCAAATATGTGTGTAACAATTATCATAATTCTTAATGAAGCATTATAGATCATTGAATTTAAATAACAACTTAATATTATAATTAGTCATATTCCATTTTAACCATAACACTGTAAAAAATAAGTTGAAATCAAATTAAAAATTTATAATGAAAAACATTAATAAAAATTAAATACATTAATAATTTCATTACGCGGTTAATGCACACTTTTTAATATCTTATTAAGCGAATCGTACTGTGCACACATTTTAGGCCATGCCATATGGTTCGATCTTTGTACAAATAAAATTACTAACTTTTAAAGAATCAAAAGTAGGGTATTAACTTAGTAAAAATTTAATAAAAATAAATATATTCCTTAATTTAAACATTTAATTGATTGAAACGTTTAAGTAAGTGGATTAAAACAGAAGGTTTAACCTCGATTTTTAAATATTATAGTTTTAAATTAATTATTTCTGAATACATAAATGTCCATTTACATATTTGAAGAGGATATCGTACCCGTTGTGTTGTTCGGTAAAGCACGATTGAGCATAAAACGATTGAGCATAGACCTTTTTAGCAACACGATTGAGCATAGAATATTTTATGCGATGTTGCCAAATTCACGTTGCCAAAATTTTGTAATTTATTATTTTCACGTATTACGTATTACACCAATTATTATTATATCTGACGCGAGCCGTGAGCCGAGCTCCTCAGCTTTATCGACAATGTTATCGATAAATAAACTAGTTCCGTATCAAATATTTAGCATCGGGGGAAAATATAAGATAATTAAGATTCAATTCCAAAATTATTATAGAATTAATATCAGTGTTCGATCACCTATAGTCGTGTTTAGTGCGTTTCGTATAAGTGCGTTTATAGTTTCTATTTATAAATATTTTGATTTTATTATTTTCATAAGTCATAACTATTATTATTATTATTTTATTATTATCAAACAGATCTATGTACTATATTATATTTTGAATTATTATAATTATTTAAATACATTTTTTTTGTATAATACATTTCAAAATTAAAAATGGCAACATTGCAGAGTTTTTTATGCTCAATCGTGTTGGTTTTCTTTTGTATTTCAATTTCCTTTGATGCGCCGACAATTTATGCTCAATCGTGTCGCAAAAAAGGTGTTTTATGCTCAATCGTGTCGTAGCCGTGTTGTTTTTGTCTAACCAACGTATAAAATAATAAATTTTACTTCACGGTTATTTTTATAATTATAATGACTATAATGGATTGAATTAATAAATTATTATTAAATTTAAAAATAAGAATATTATTTAGAGTTCTTTGTGGGATATTTTTTATTTTTATTTTCAAGTAAGTTATGAGTATTTTAAAATTTATAGTAGAATGGAAAGCAATAATTTCGAGTCAATAAATGTTAATTTTATTCTTGTTCAATGTGCCATGTTATTATTTTTCTATATTTTACTATAATTTTTTTATTATTTTTTTTTCAAAATTAGAGATTGTATACTAAATACATAATAAAATAAATAAATAAAAATTGTTGTAATTTCATTTATATTAATTTTATGCCACATTAAATTTATACATAGATGTATATATTTTAAACTTATTTTAAATTGTTTCCACATCTTTGATCATTTTCGGTGGATAAACGCGTGTTTCATAATTTATTAGGTTATTTAAATCTAATTTATGTCTGGTTACAGAAAAATTAACTGTAAAAACTAAAAATTGTTTAGTCTAGAAGGATAGTGACTTCATCTTGAAGTTGTATCTGATTTTAAAATTCATAAAATATGAATAAAAATGCCTGAATATAATAAAAAATCAGTGACTTTATTCTGTATTTTAATTTTTTGTGAACAAGAACGATAATTAATACCTCAACAATGTAAATTTTTTTTTTTTTTTATTATTAGCTATTAGTTGAAAACTATGATAGCTCGACAATTACAATTGTACAGGTACAATATTAAACATTACAATTATATGATATAGACTAAAATATTACACTAATAATATGAATTGAAGACCTATAGGTACAGTAATTACATTTACATAAACAATGTAAAACAACCAAATATATTTCGTTCAATCTAAGCTAAAACTGTAAAAACTATTCTCTTTACTTATAATAAAAATGTATTAACATTTAACAATATTACTTAAATACCGTTTTTTAATTATGTATTTATTTTAATTTATGGGATAACAGTATTTTTAATATTAATTCTTTGTAGTATTAATTACTAAGCATTGAGGTGTAAAAAATAATACTTATAGTGAACTTAATAAACGATGGACTAATTAGCTTTAAGAGGAAACTTTGAAATAAAATCTTTGGAAGGATATTTTATGCGTGCATTTAAAAAAAATTATTACGCTACCAATGGTGAACTTACAACGTTTATACTTTATACACTGGAGTTCATATAGATCGCTAAATATATTGAAAACAGAAATACATACTAAATTATTATTATTTATTTGATTCATTCATAATACCATACTAGCTGTATCTGTCATTTAGGAAATTAAAAAATATGTCTATATTTATAATATTATTTACTTTTTTCATGCTATAGTTTAATATTTATTTAAAACTTTTACTACAAGTATCTTAATTGAGTCGAAATTAACTATATAATTTATTATTATATTAATTTTTCCTTTAGAAACTATCCAAAAAATTGAAAATTAAAGTAAATTTTACAAATTGTTTAATTTTAAATTACGGATTACTTAATTAAAGTACATAATATAAGAAAACTAGGGTAATCGATAGGCTAATAATTATGCCTAGTGCGTTTTGCGTTACCTCGTCGTCGTCGATTAATCATTATAAATGTGTAAAATTTGAATTCCATAATTACTCATTGTACTTTTACAAATATTCACTTTTGAATAATAATAATAAAAAAAAAAATTAATATTTTTATCAATACATATTTTTTCATATTCTAACTTAATCCCATTTCCGACATGCATATATATAAATATAAGCATTTTGGCGTCTTTTACGGTATCAGAGTTCAATTGTGATCTCCAGGGACGGATTGGGCCATCAGGAAATCGAGAAATTTCCGATGGGCCGCATACTAACTAAATGACGGGCTCACTGTTCGTTATATAATCTCCACTGCTATAGTCTGTTAAAAACTTACTACGATTAAGAATATACAGCTTTCTTTATTATTAGTATTTAATTTAATTAATTTAATTTATTATAATTTAATTTTTTTTCATAGCAAGAATTGCAATTTGGAGAACAGCAAAATAAAAAAACAATAGACCAATATTTTATATGACTGATAAATATTAGTATAACAGAAACTGAATAATAAACTATAATATAATATAACTATATTAACTATAATATA